GCTGAAAATGAAGCAAAATAAAACTAAATTATGGCAATTGAAAATGAAAAGCGAAAATTAAACGCATAATGAGTCGCAACAGAGGAAAGAGAAAGACGAGGAGGGGAGAACTGATGCTAAGGGTAGGCTCAAGATAAAAGCAACAAGCGACGACGAGGACGACGACGACGACCGGTATAACGACAATACAGGATAATACAATAAAGGCCGACAAACAACAAGAAAACTGCCAAATTATGAAGCAAAAGTTGGCGTGAAGCAATCTCAAGAGGAACACAAAGCGCAGGGCGTGTCGGCGGAGGGAAAGCGCATTATCCGAGGCCCTAATGCACTGTACCACAATGAACAGAAGAGAACAACCAAGTGCCCTGTTGGGGTCGGGTCTGGTTTGGTTTGGTTTGAATTGCCTTTGCCTTTGCCTTTTCCATGAACCTTCATTATGAACTCTGCCCAGGAACGCTGCTTTTGGCTGCCACTTGAGCAGGGCTGCCAGATGGCAGATGGCTGATAGTTTAAGGGGATGAGAGGGGAGGCTTTGGGTCTCTGGGTCTGGCCGAGGTGTGGTTCGTTAGCTTGAAATAAAACGAAGGAGTGGTAGAACCCGAGCAAACTCACGTCCCGTAAATCAGTCAAAAGAAATACGCTTGAGAACTGCAGCGCATCTTCAGAGTGCAGGGCGATGAAAATGTCAAGATCACAATCCGGCACAATCCTCTCCAGAATTGTTTGGCACTTAGCCATTAAGCTGCTGCTCCATTGTCCAATTTAAATATGAAATGTATATAACTATTTTAAATATAAAATTAAAATATACTTAAATTAAATATTTAACTTATAAAATTTTCACCCTTGGAGCATACCAATTATATTTTTATATCTAAGTTTAAATATGAAAATTTTTTGTATTTTTTTCTCTGGGTGTATGCCTGAGTACCGGATTTGGTTTGGTTTGTGCGTTTGTCTCTTAGCAAGGATCTAGAACATATATTTTAAAAAAAAAACTGCTAATAGTTAAAGTGAATAATAAAGTCAAACACTGGTGCGAGTGGGTACATAGTAATTCCTTGCAGTTCAGCACATTATCTTCGACACTCTTGTCGCCAGGCAAGCCGTAGAAGCATTCCGTTCACATATGTATGTATGTACATATATATTCGTACAGACAGATCAGGACACACTTACGAGTTGGGCTGCAGCGCTAGGCAAACAAACGGCTCTGTCATTCAAATCTGACACAAGACAAATCGCATTGAGTGGCCTTCCAAATACATTGCATGTCTCTGCTCTCCGCTCTGTGCTCGCCGCTCTGTGCTCGCCGCTCTCTGCTCTGTGCCGCTCTTCTGGAACTTGCTCGAATTCCTTCCTCTGCGAGTGAAATTCGCTACACTCGAGCAATCAATTCACAATTACGGTACTGCCTGCCGCTTGCTCCCACATGCTTCCATCCCCATTCCCGTTCCCATTCCCATTCGCATTCTCATTGCTATTCTGTTCCCCCTCCATTCCGGAATCGCACGAATGCAAAGTTCAATTCAATCTCTCAGTTGTCACTGGCACTGGCAAACACAATATGCGGAGGGATGTGGCGGACAGAGGCACATCTGTTGCTTCCTTTTTCTCTTTGCATCTTTTTGCTGTCATTTCGGCGCAATCCCAAAATCACTTTCGCAAGATTTAGTTTTTAGGTTGAAAAAAAAACACAAAAACTTTTCACCTTGTGTATACCGAATGCAAAAGTAAATCGCAAATTTCAGAGAACTCATTTCATTTATTCCTGCTGGTTCCCTGAATTTATTCCTTAAAAAATTATTTAAAAAGATAAATAATTTTAAAAGTTATATTCTGAATGGTTTTGCGGTTATGGTCGCACATGTTTGTCATTAATCTGATGGCTGCGATGAATTTGTACGATTTGAATGAAATCGCGAAATGGAAAAAGAATGTGAGAACGCGATCGGCGCTGATTTTTGTTGCTAAGAATTTAAATAAGTGCACGCGTGTGTGTGTGTGTAATGGCATTTTCAATGCGAAATCTAATGGAACGTGTTTAAAACAATTTGTCCCCAATATTGAATTACACACTTGAGTGCCTTTTGACTTCTTTTGAATGCGAGTGCAATGGCTTTGTCACTTGATGATATCCATGCAGAAGTTGGAGAGGACTATAGAGTGCGGTGTTCACACGTACTGCATCTCCTGGCAACTTCATTGAGTAGACAAATACCCACATATGTACATACATGTGTGCATGTTCTCAAGCTGAGCTAAATCTGTGTCTGTGATTTTAGTTTATTTAGCTGGCAATCAATTTGCATCCTTGAAGCCATGCGGATGTGGTCTCGGGGAGGGAAAACTCCCCAACGGGCTGGGCTGGGCTGGGCTGGGCCACATACACAGACTCGTCGTGCAGCACAGTGTTAATAGGGATGATATCGGGTTAAGCACAGTCCTGTGATTAACGGTGCAATACAAGAAATATGATATTAATTGATGATCATCATGATTAGGTGTATGCTCTTCCAAAGGATGATATTAGGAGGAAGCATCTCTGACCCCATTCCGTATTGTGATGAAGATTTTCTATTATTAGGAATTATTATTGCGTCCGTGAACTATTTCTGCAGCTAAAAACGATGTCATTTGGAAGCATGAATTAAATGTGCGAATGGACTACGAAAACAGGTTTGAATCTTGATCCCTGCCGATGAGCAAGTCGTTCAATAGTTCCGGTTATATCTTATACGACTTATACCATCTGACTCATTTTTTGGTTTTTATTTGGTTGAAGACAATGCGGGCATTCATGGTCCATTGCGCCAATCAGAACTTTCGGATGAGCCGAATACACAATTTTGGCTGGTTCTCAAATGGGAGACGAAGAATCGAGTTGGATGTAAGTCTCGATGTATGCTGGTTCATCTCGTGCCTTTTGTGATTGAGATCTAAGAGTTTTCAACATGCTCACATGCACATTTCCGTTAGCTCGTTAATTTCATTTTCAGTTCTTTCTGCTTTACTATTTTTCAAGCTTATTGTATTATTCGTTCAACGATTAACATGGGATTCAAAAATGGTTTAAATGATAGGAAGTTCAGAATTACCAGCTTGGTATTTCGGCCCACTCTATGGGTGGATAGCAGACATTTATTCGCATCGACCGAAACTAATACATTTGTACGTAACATTTTCGAGTACTGGATATTATTATTAATCATACAAAAATGGAAAATTAAAAGTTTTTGATCGATCAACTAAAAAAATGAGCATTTTCCCTTGGCCTTGGTCTGTTAAGCTTCTGAATATTGTAGTAATGCACACAATGCAACTAGAACTCTGAAGACCTTTTTTCAAATTAAAATTTATTTCATTATTACATATTTATTCGTTCAGAAGTTATTAATTTTACGAGCTGAAACGTCAGGCGGCCCCATTGTGTGGCGAAGGACCAGACTGTCTGAATACGTAAAGCGGGCAAGAATTAATCATAGCCGAAGTCTCATTTACAAGGCTGTGAAGCTCTTCAGGGCTTCATGCAAGTTTGCGGGATTTTAAGTCTACCGAATCCGTTGCATATACGAGTACATGTACGAGTATGTATGCTGGTACATAGCCGGCCGTTAAGAAATCTTTTTTCGCGTTAAGTATCAGGGTATACCAAGATACAATCAAGAGCCCGAAGAGACAATTAAAAAAGCGAAAAAAAAAGTATCTTTTCTTATGGTAGACATGCGCTTTACATAACGACCAGAGCAAGTTTGGTAGAAATAAATGTCTGTACAGCTCATTCAACTGAACAGGTGATCTGAACTGGTTCAGCTACATCAATTGTTACCAGTTGCATGTTGGTGCATAGTATTTAATTCCATATATCAAAAGTTACACTGCATGAAAGTCTAAACAGAGTTGTTGAAAGGAATTACAAAACGCATAGCCCACGGAACATGTTATTTCATCCAGATAAATGCTTGTAACTTTTGCAAAATCCAAATAAAATAGCACGAAAAATACACTTATTAAATTTCCAATCAAAATCTTCATATTAAAAAGGGGTTATTTTCGCTTATTTATTGCTTTATCGACAAAAACTACAAACAATTTTCTGGAAATGCAGATTGCAGGAGCATTGTGGGCCTTAGAGATCTCTGGCGCTGTTACTGCCAGGCAGAGTTTCGAAATTAATTTGTTAACTTTGTTTCGTAGTAGTTTTGGGGGATTGTCTCTGTTCAGTCTCTGTTTATCTTTAAACTCGGTCTTTTTGTAAAAAGATATAAAATTATTGGCTGCCTTCAAGTGTTTATAAATATTAGCGCGGCGATGTTGTTTCCCTTCTGGCTACTGTTGAATTAGTAGTTTTTTAGGTGCGTAGATGTTTTCAGCATATAGAAAAGAGGATACCGCCGACTCGAACTATAAAAATACACTGCGTAGGGCAAAATAGTTCTCTAGTTGGCGAATTCCTGATAATTGGTTTGTCCCACTGTGCGAGTGCAGAGTAGATTTTAAAATGCATGGACCGTGGACCGTTCGCCCGTTCGCCTTAATGAAAACATTTCGTTGCTTTTAATATCTATTTACTACTGCAAAAAGTAGCTCAAAAGTAATTGTTGCCACGCATAAAACTTGTTCATAGCCGACCGGTGTCGGGGTCTGCGCGGCTGGCCATTTACACTATGTAACAGACAGTCCCCAGAACCAAGTCTTTGGTTTTCATTTCGAAATTTGGAAAAGAACAACTGCAATTTTCGTTATGTCAAGATTAATGTCTCCCAAGTGTTTCGCTTACTTTTAAAGCCCAAAGTTTATTGGTAGCTGCGTTTTTTAGCCTACCCCCAACTGATTCCTTGCGTGGCCTTGCGTGGAAATAAAAGCCTGATTTTGTTACCTAGTGTTCCCAGAGCTAGCCATTCAACCCGTCTAACTTGTTGAGATTTGGGCCACTAATCCACCATAGCCAGGCTCGTTCGGCATTACGCCTGACGTCGACTGGACCGCCGATTAGGGCCAGTTTTTAGTCAGACGGCGCCTCGTGCGGTACTAAAAGCGCTCAACCCAGAACGTTCTCGGTATAGCGATATCAGCAGGAATATGCTGCGCCAGCTTTGCCCATTGCTGCTGCTAGTCGCATTGGCTCTCGGTCCTGCCAGGTGTCATGCCATGGCGCCGCAAATCTCGGCCACGAGATCGGAGATCGAGGGCTCAGAGTTGCGGGCAAAGCGCGGCATCGTCACTATTGACTTGGGGATGATCCTGAAAAATCTGCTGCTAAAGAGTGCCCAGTTCTCCAGTGCAAAGGCCAGTCTGACCCACCCAGGGAAACGTCCCACGACAACAAAAGCCACAACAACAACAACAACGACGACTGCACCGCCAGTCCAACCACGAACTCCTCCGCCTCCACGCCAAAAACCGATCTGGCAGCCGCACGGCTACTATTCCTTCGGTTACCTGCCGTTTGACTACGAAACCGACTATGGAGATCCTGTGGCAAAGGCACAGGCACAGGCACCACAGTCAGGCTCACCCCGACGCCCCCTGCACCCCTCGTATTTACAAAGGAAATCTGCTGGTCCGGCTGCACCAGCTAGATACGAATATGATTATGACTATGATGCACCGCCTCCACCAAAACCAACACCAATACCGCCGCCCCCACCATCACTCCCTCAACGTCCACATCCACGTCCACGTCCCCGTCCCCGTCCGCAGCCCCGACAACCTCTGCCTGAACCACAGCAGATACGCCGCCCATCGGCCCAGCTGGGCGATCGTCTAGTCTATCAGTACGCACAACCTACTGGTAAAATACATCAACTTATAGCTAATTGTCGAACAATTGGATTCTCTCCAACACTTTGCAGATACCTACTATAGGCCAAGCGGGCTCGGCGACGGAGTTGCTGCGCAGGGGGGAACGGTGGAAACGGAATACGCACCGGATGCTGAAGATGTAGACGGCGCAGACGCGGCAGCAACTGCGGACAACTATAATGGTGCATATGTGAATGGAAACCCTGGTGCTGACCCACCGTGGTTTTTGGTCAACTATGCGAACGAGAACGATGTGGCTGACTTCTCCAGAGGATCGTCCTCTGGCCAAAAGGACCAAGCAACGCCGCCCCGAGGCGGTATTCCTGTCCAGTCCTCGGGGTACGTGTAAGATCCGATTTCCTAATGAAGCCTTAGAATTATTCGTCGGAAAATGTACAGCAAAAATAGCATTAGATATATATGCGTATGTGTGTGTGTGTGTGTGTGTGTGTGTGTACATAAGGTGGAAGGTTTTTTTTTTTTCTATTATTTTGTCTGATATCATTGGGGTAATCTAGTTTTTCGTGTACTAATAATAATAAATACATAAACGGGCTAGTAACTAAATGTCTCGCCAGACACTGGTGGCTATCCAGTTCTGCTGTCATGTCTGATGTGTGTTGATGATTGGTTGATTAATGCGAATCAGTTCCAACCTGCGGATCAAAACGGCGGATGGTTCGCAGCTCAGGGGGGATTTAGTCGAGTGATACGAAATAAATTATTGTAAGCAAAAGGGACAACCTAAGAACAGCCTTAGTGTTCGCTCTTATCAAATTCCAAGGAATCGAATGTGTTGAAGGCTCTTTGGTAATTGTGTGGACGTTGATATGCAAAGACTGCCCAAAGTGACCCGGCACAGGAGGGGCCTCCTGCCCAACCAACAGAGGGGCGCTGCCGCATGACGCGCGACGCGTGTTACCGAACCGATCGCGAGCATGCAGAAAAAGACACATATCTTAGACTAAAATTCGAGGAAAATTAGAGCCAAACACAACTCAAAGAGCTAAACATGCAAAGATAGCTAAGAAATAGTACTCAAATCGGGCAAGGTATGTTAGTATTAGTGATTTAAGAAGAGTAAGGGAATTAGTGGTGAATATTATGTGGTAGTGGTAATTGAAGTCCGTGCAAGAAATAATTTGATCTACAAAGCGGAAGGAGTTTATAAAGTTTATGCGGCTCAACAAGTCAGGGCTATCTACGTCACCCTTGATCAGGTTGTGCATAAAAATCACCCCATGCATTTTCTACGCCTAACTAAGGTTGGAAGGTTTATCAAAAGCAATCCACGAGGGTAAGATGGCAGTCTCACACCTGCATCCCAGTTAAGGCCACGCGGAGCATAAAGTAAAAAGTTTTTCTGGACTGATTCTATGCGGTCCTGGTCTACTTTGTACTGGGGGACATCATACACAAGAGCCGTACTCTAAAATCGAACGAACAAGCGATATATAGAGAGTCTTCGTTATATAAGGGTCGTCAAACTCCTTTGACCACCCCTTTATTTACCATGGTAGAATTGTGTTCAGAAAACTTTAACTTGGGGTCTAATTTAACACCAAGATCATCAACCAAGGTAAATGCAAATGCGTTGATGATACAATTACTGGGAAGAGCTTTCAGGTGGGCTGGACGTCTCCGGCTGTTCGGTCAGGCCTTTCGGTCTCGGTTCTACGCCACCGATCAAGTGCTTGCATTTTGCAATTGTTGTAATCTATTTTTAATATGTGCTTAGGTTTTCCATTTTTTTTTGGACGTGGAAATCCACAAAAAAAGAGAAAAACCGCCGCTCTAATAATAATAAAATTGAAAGAGCATGCGGCCCTGGGCTGAGGTTGAGGCTGAGGCCGGGGCCGGGGCCAAAGCCAGGCCGGAAACCTAGATTAGACCAGGCCAGGACCTACGCCCCACTCCCGAGACCCAACGGCAATGGCCCATTGTGTAAACACATGTAAGTCTTGGTCAATTGTTGTTGGTGATGTTGGTGCAACAACGGGTTGTTGTTCCCGTTGTTGCTGGAATTGTTGCTGGCGTTGTCTGTCTGGTAAACCAAAATTGTTGCTCGTTTTCCGCATGAATCACTTGCATCATCATCATCATCGCCATCGCCATCGCCATCGCCATGGCCATCGTCATCATAGCCCCGTTTCGTTGCCAACGTGGCTATATGGGAACCACAACACTGCAAATATGTATGTGTGTGTGTATATGTGTGTGTGGGTTCTCTCTCGTCCCTCTGCGTGTGTGTGTGTATATGTGCAGTCACACCCATACACACGGGGCCAAAGCGTTTGGCTCTGCACTTTGTAAGTAGCTTTTAATATATTTTGCCACAAGCCGGGGGAAAAAATCAGAAAATAAAAGCACACCCTCACACAATAAAAAAAAAAAACAAACAAAAAAAAAATGAGAATAAAAATAAAAATGAATTCTCTTCGTTGCTCTTTTATAAGCGTGTGTTTGTGTGTGTTTAAGCAGAAATTGGATTAAAATTAAAATAAAAAGAGAGAAAAGTACAAAATAAATAAATAAAAAAGTCCCCCCCAAAGAGTACAAAATTAAATGAAATAAAATGTACAACATAAAATGTTGTTCAAAGGGTGAGGAAGGCAGGATGGAAGGAAGGAAGGAAGGAAGGCTTTCCGTTCAGGGGTAGAGGTTAAGCGCGTTTGGGTTTCGGGTTAAACGCAACAATGCCGATGCTTTCCTCGACTTTGATTCTTGTTGCAGGGACTTGGACGGACTGCGTTTGCCCCATTTCGATGGTCTTTAGAGAAGTGTATCGCGAACCCACCCACTCTCCTGTGTCTATCTATTTGCAAAGTTTTGGGTGCAATTATTCAATGTAATTTGTGAAATTTACATTTTACATTTTGCACTTTGTCGCGGTTTGAAAGCGTAAATCGTTTCGGTTTATACCCGTCACTGTTCGTGAATTGCATTAACCATTAGCATTAGACCCAGAGATATAATGGCTGAGAGCACGGTAGATTAGGGCTCTCAGGGAAGCAAGACCCTATCTTTGGTCGGCAAATAAATACTGTAGGCAGATTCTTCTGCCGGCATAAGCCTCATTGCCGGACAGTCCGATTCCGTACACTGCGAAAAATGAGTGAATGAAAGTGAGAACAGGCACGAGGGCAAACCAACTACTGGACGGACACAAATTCGATTGGGCACCACTCATCCCACCCATCCGTCTGCACTCCAGCGGAAAGCTGTCGATTCTCTGACACTTTCGATTGCTTTTCCCCCCTGCGTTTCTCCCAGTGCCAGAGAGGAAAAGCGCAAGGGGGGGAGGCGTATATTTTCCTGCTTAGCTTAGCACTTTACACATGAGCATTTTCGACTCCGTCCTTCGTCCGTCCTTTGGCTGTCCGTTGAAACTTTCGCTGACGTTTGCAGTGCAAAATTGTTGGGTATTGGTCAGTGCCACTGCCACTGCCAATGCCAATGCCAATGCCAGTGCCACATATGCCATATTAACCAATAGCCCAGCCCCTCTCCGTGGCGCCACTGACTCGCTAAGCCCTCAATCATGTCAATTACTCGCCAATTGTTGTTGTCTTTTGGCACAGTGGAAAATGTGCTCGGCTTGACGTCTGCGGGGTTTCGCATGATGGGCATAAATTTTGATTTATGAACAGCAAGAGATACGAAAATATGTACGTACATAAATATGTATGTACAATGTACATACATACATACATATATATATGAATGTAGGACTGCTTGTGCATCTGGCTATTTGCACTCACATATGTGCATGCACGCATGAGTTCGCTTTATTAATTTGTCATATGTAGCGATGCATAAAGTGAGGAGATATCCCCTGCACACATATACATCTGTACATATGTATGTATGTACATGCAATACATGAGTTGCAACATCATTAAGTAGAGGACTCGGCAACAGACATCGAACTGCTCTTGCACCGGAGTCCAATCCAGTTGAATAAAATTTCCACACAGTTTAAGTTTTCAATTAATGCGTAAATTATGAATATATATTTTTTCCAACATTTTAAATGGGCCTCAAATGAGATTTAAATAATAAAACAAGCTGATTGGTCAGCAGGGGCGATGTTCTCGCAAGCGAAATCTCAACAATTTCAGCAGCTGATGGTCGCAGCACTCCCCTAAGGCACTTCATTGAAGATGAGCTGGCCCCTCTCCCTCCTGCACTTTTGCCAGGTGAAATCGGAATTTGGAGTGCGCATGGGGTGCTGGCCCCAATCCCCCCAAGCATGCTGATTTATGAGGCCACCCCCTTTCAAGTCCACTCCCACACAAATCGACTCCACTTTCCCCCTGCACAGCCCATGGCCGCCACGTCTCAGTATCCAGTTTATTCTTTATTCATTGTTTGCCTCCTTTGGCTGCATTAACCTTGGGCTGATCCGATTCCATTCGCTCCGCCTGGGCTTGCCCGTTGGGGCCACCGGCCCGATTCGCCTGCGGGGCAACAATTGAAATTATGGATTTTATGTGTCATAAGCTTTTATTGATGCAACAATCAAATATTTATGATGACAATTCCCGCTGACAATGATGGCAATAAAAATGCTTTACTCTCACTCATCCCGCGCTCCTCCCTCCACACTCCCCTGTCCTGTCACACTCTGTCGGTCCTCCGCTCTGTCTGAGAGATTTCTGTCGTTGTTTTTGGCTGTGGAAGGTGAATTGTGGCGAGGTGGAAGCAGGCGACAGCAGGGGAGGACAATTGAAATTCGATTCCGTTTGATAAGTGCCGCATGGAGGATCCAATATAAGAATTTATACGTACTTCTTTTCCGTGAAATGGGTCATTTTTAGTGGGCTATTGTGCTTAGATTTGCCTGCTGGAACTCACATTCTATACGAAGAGCCAAAGCACTAAAGTATTATAATTATATTTATAGTAGTGGAGCAGGCAAAACTGAACATTGCACTATGGGAAATTTGACCACTTTTTCTGGCCAAAACCCATTTTTCAAAACTAGTTAAAATAATATATTTGTAGACCCCATATATCCGAATAAAATTGATCTTTAATGTTACGCAAAAAAAAGTTAACAGTGCGCGCCACAGTTAAATTAACAGCTGTTAAAGCTATTAACAGCTATCGCTAGGCGAATGTTGGTTCAAAAAGTTATTTTTTTCATCTTGTAAAAAAGGGGGGGCGAAGGGAAAAAAAAAAAAAAAAAAAAAAAAAAAAAAAAAAAAAAAAAAAAAAAAAAAAAAAAAAAAAAAAAAAAAAAAAAAAAAAAAAAGGGGGGAGGGAGCCCCCCCGAAAGCCCCCCATTTCCTTCCCGTTTCTAAAAAGGGCTAAAAAGTTATCAATTCATGAATTTAAGTGCTTTTTTTACAATGTGTTCGATTCAGACAGGTATGTAATATATGTTTATGAGTTTGAACTGTACAAATTTCACTCATAATAATGTTTAATGACTCATTT